TCATGTACATTCCCTTTTCTTATTATATATTTTTAAAAAAACCACATTCTTAGCTATCAAAAACAATTTTTCTTTACTTGATATGTTGATTTAGAAGTGGAGATATAATACTAGTTTTTCTGAGAGATGACAAATCGGAAATCAAAGTTTAAAAGGTAAATTAAAGATGCAAGTTTACGCCTTTTTACGTTATATTTTAATAAATAATTTTAAGCATTTCAATATGTTTGGAAAATCTGGCAAAGTATTTTTATTATGTGTTTTCACATTTTCATTTGGTAATGTGAATAGTTGTGTATATATATCAAATTATGGTAATCTTAAAACTTTAAACGCGATTTCCGATTAATTTTTTTTATGATTTATGTTCACAGCAACCGTGATAACTTTAAAAGTTCCTTAAAGAATCACTTGAAATTTTGCACAAAGAGTTTATACATTATTATGCATGATATCGAGAAGGGGTAAAAAATTAGGCTTGTGGAATGTAAATTATATCATTTTCCCTTCAACTGTGTATGTACTTTTTTTTTTTTTTTTTTTTAATTTTTGATTGTTGACTAACATATTTGGCCATATATTACTAGCGAATCAATGTTTTCCAATTATTCTACTTCACTGTATGGCTGCTATGGTTAATATATGGCCTTTATATCTTCATGTACATTCCCTTTTCTTATTATAATATTTTTAAAAAATTTTTATTTTTATTTTTTGATTTGTTTTTGCAAAAATTGCATTATATTTCTTATATTTTGTAATTTTATTATATATTGTTAATTTGTAATTCAAAGCAATTTCAATTACTTTGAATTCTATTTCATAATGCCAATTTCCAATGTTTAATTTTTACAAATAGTTTTGAATTAAAATGCATATAAACACGAGGGTGTCGGGGGACAATTACTCGAGCAATATCAATTTTACTGCAGAAATTGATTTTCACTCAAAATTGAATTAGCTAAAATGCATAATCGGAATGAGTTCTTTGGTTCTCTGCATTGGTTCTTAATCCCTTCTATTCACGGAAATGTTTGGCCTAGCTTGAATTGCCGGTTTGGCATCGCCTTATTACTCGAGTAAAGGACGAAACACCTTCGTATTTATTTCTTAATTACTGTTCATTGTATAATTATTGTTCAACGGGAGTTGGTTTGTTCCCCTTGAAAAGTCAACTAATTTCCGATCAATGGCAATGATTACTTGCATTTAATTTAATTAATTGCTTTTAACTTATTTCTTTTTACAATTGAAATTTTGTTATTTAAGATTTAATTCAAGTCCCCGTTAAACATTTTTAACAATTTACATTCAAGTTACTTTAAACATTTTTCGAAATTGAACTTATTATGTATGGATTCACTCTTTTAAGATAATTATACTAAAATTAATCTTAGGAGATAGTATAATCAATATTCTTTAGTATATATATATATCATAGCATGAAGTTAAAAATATGTTTTTATCATTATTTTCTTGCCTGTGAGGTTGATGATTATGCTAATTTCAATCTAAATTTCAGTTTTAGGAAATATGTCTAAAACGTATTTTCTTTACTATGGTGTGCAATTTTTTATAAATTATAATTCAAATATTTTCGAAAAATTTATAAATAGTATTCAAAAATTATTTTTTTTAATAAATCAGAAAAAAATGTCTGATTTGATTATAATAAATCCCGATGACTTTTTCAGATTATAAATTAAGATAGCAAGGAAGTTGATTAGAAAAGCGATATTATCAATGTTAATAAAATTGAAGTATACTATGCTCTGATCTAAAGTAAAAAGCTTGAAAGTTGACAATATGCGTGATTATTTAGCCCATTTGCTCTCAATAGGGCGGCGGAGGATGCTGAGAGGCGCTCAACTTGTTTTCGGTGGTAGCGGGCGGTGGACATGTTTTAGATGAGCGGTAGGGAGAGATGAGCATATTTTGGCATTCGAACTTAACTTTAAAACTTCGCTTATCCGGTTTACACCATTTGTACCTGCAATAAAACGAAATTACGTGACGGTTATCCTCACGCAATTCTTTAAGAATGGTGAGACGAAATGCTATAATTGATCTACCGGACTGTATCTTCGTCTCGATGACTTCGTCTAGATTTTCCCTCTCTTCCACACCATCATGTTAGCCATGATTCTACGTTATATTCTCCAGAAAATGCCTCCCCCCAGTTGTATCAAAGAAGGCGATTATATTCTTTAACTCTAGACAGAACAGAGCAACCGCCCAGGCCCCTAACCATGTCACACAGTTCAAGGTAGGATGACCTTGAAGAACTCGATGCTGCGATTCTTCTCAGATCCCAACCTGCACATGCGCTAGCTGTTCCGCACGCGGTTAATCTCAGCGCATACGTACAGCGTCGTTTTCTCCTTTTAAGAATAAACGTTTAATTTCGCCCCCCCCCCTTTTTTTTTTTTTTTTTTTTTTTTTTTTTTTTTTTGCGTTGCTTCTTTTTTTTTTTCCATAAGCTTCGATTTACTTTCATTGTTTATTTGACCAGTCGGCTAGGTATGTGCGCTTTGTGATTGTGAATTATATGTGACTGATCTAATTTCAAAAAAGAAAAGTCGACTCAAAATCGTGGAAAGATGGAACTTAGCGTCTTCATTCTTAGAGTCAAATTCCAAATTTGGGATTCCAGCTGCCCATATTCGAGTGGAGGAATACGTTATTCAAACTTACCCATTCTCTAGGCACCGTTGTTTTTTCACAATGCTGAAAACATACATACTTTCATTCAAATTCTTCCTTATTTAATTTCTTTAAATATAGTGCAGAGCTCTAATATTAGGTGGCAACCATTTTAAAAGTGAAAAGCCATTTATAGTGAACCAACGCAAAATGCCAAAACAATATTAATAGCCCTTCTGGGCAAATTGCCTCTTTGGGTTAAAAAAAATAAAAATCTGAAAGCTTTCAGATTTTATATCAGGCCCAAAGGGGCGTTTTTTTTTTTTTTTTTTTTTTTAACGTTTTGTGTGTTACCTTTATTTAAAATATCATGTTGTTTGCATTTAAACCATAAAATTGAATTCAAGAGGTATATCGCAAAATAACCTTAAAATGATCATATACTTTAGAATTTTCAATACACAGTCTGGAGGTTTTTTTTTTTTTTTTTTTTTTTTTTTTTTTACAGTGTTGCCATTCCTCGCTTTGAAATCGTTGAGTTTCTTAATCAAAAATTCGTTTAAGTTTTATAAAATATGAAATGGATAATAAAATAAATTCCAAATTCCATACGGCTTCCAGGTGCCTATATTTTAGTGAAAGCCAGCTTATTGAAATTTGATATCTCTAGGTCTAGGTACCGCTGTTTTTCCGAAGCGCGAGAAACATACATATATTCATGCAGATTCTTCATCATTTAATTTCTTTAAATATATAATGCAGGGCTCTAATGTTTGGTAGCATCAGTTTGAAAAGTGAACCGACATTTATAGTGAATCAACGCAAAATGCGAAAACGAAATTAATAGCCTTTCTGGACTTACGCCCTTTGGGCTAAAAAAAGAAGAATGGGGCCTCAATGCATTCGAGTATTTATTTAAAAATTAATATGATTTTTGATATTGGAATAAATATTTTGTAGAGACATTAGGTATTTTTTGAAAGCAGGAATGATTAAAAATGAGCAACGCCCTCGCCGGGAATCGAACTACAGATTTCTGGTATACGCGCATAGCGTGCTGACCACAACACTACGAAGGCATGCTAAGAAGGCGGGAGAAATACCTTATTTATTTATTTATTTTGACAAATCTGTTTTATAATTGCTATATGCTACCAACATTACAATTAAGTTAAGGATAAGTGATACCATTTCTATACAAGTTCTTCGCACATTTCTTTTCATATCAGGATAATTCGCCAATATATATGAATGAAGGTAAAGAGCAATACCCTTCTTTACATACTTTTGGGTTAAAAATTCAGCATACTTTTCTGCCTTTCACTTCTCTTTAAAAATAGTCTGTAGATTTGTATCCTCTCGAGCACGATGAATTTGTTAAATAGCATTATAGTATAATCATATATCAGTGCAGCTAGTTTTCTTATATTGGTCCCCACTTTCTCTCGGGAATTTTCTTTTGACCGAAGAAAATTCTTTATATTTCTGAAACTTGAAACCTGTGCTTAAATTCTTTGGATAAGGGTGCAGAATTGTTTGAAATTATTGTACAATTTTCTGGAAGAAAAGTCGTTGTTAGCGAGTCTGTAGCTTCCAATTTGGGTCGCACATAAGAGTTCTCCGGGTCATATATGTCCCACGATCATGGGTTGAATATATATTATTTATACGGAACACCGAGTTTTCTGTCATACAGTTCTACGTAGGGAATCAAAATATTTAAAAACTGTTCTAAAAAAAATCTGCGAGTTATTTTTTTTACAATTGAAGCCAATTTTTTTTTTTGTAGTCATAGTGATTTTTTTTTTTTTTTTTAAATACTTATCTATATTTTTGCTTTCACTTTTCTCTCATGAAAGCGAAAATTCTCTGTGTTATTTCTTTGACTAATAGGATGGGATTAGAATACTCAAACTATGCCAAAGTAAAGGATAGCTATCTGCTTAAACGGAAGGATGTTTTCATTAAAGATATTTTAGGAACTTAACTGAATAACATGCTTATATAATAGGAATAGGTTAATAGAAAAACATGCTAATATAAGCCTTTCGTAAAAGCGAAATGGCGTTAAATGTAGTTACCACTACCGCTTAGTATTATTTGAAGTTATAGTTGTAACCATCACGACAAAGCTGTGGCTTGGCATTTGTTCGAAAATGCTTTTTTTCCTAGTAAGAATTATAAGTGACTGCTATACTTTGCTTTTTAGCTGTATAAACTAGATAATGAAAGAGAGTTTTAATTTCTTTCTTTCGATTCATGTTTGTCATTTATGAGTTTCCCAATATTATGAGAAAACTGCCAGATTGTTCTAAATTCGTTGAATAATAAAAGAATTCGATACTTTATTCTTGTAGGTTTTTGTAATTTGAAACCGAATTAGAGATGTTCATTATCGTGAATCGCTGGGGAGCCTCACTAACACTTCCTGCGGCCATCCTCTGTGCGGTCTTCTACTGGTTTTCATTCCACAATTCGAATTACACAGTAACAGTACTTGATGATGCTTTTCAATGGAATATAACTGAGGACACGTCAAAGATTATAGCCCAAAATCTGGCATTCTATAAGATAGCAACGGCAGTAGCCAAGATGAAGGTAAGTGTAATTAGTAATACTGCACATTTCTTGTGTTTGAATCTTGCCACGACATAATGGTATGAAGAACTTTTTGCTTTCTTAATTTGTTTGGAATTTCACGAGGCTGTACTTGTCTCACACCTTTATTGCACTTAAAAGTAATTCGCATTTCTTTTTTAAAAGAGAATGAAAAATCTTGGTAAAGAAAATAATGTTCTTTTTTTTTTTTTTTCATTTCTTCCTTTCCCCCCCCCCCAAATGTGTAAGAAGTGATAATATCTTGCGGAATTCAAGGATAGGTGTACTTCCAGCTTCTTGGATTCGTTCATAAAGAATGGTATTTCGCTGTCAAGAAACAATAGTTGCAATGCGAATAACATCATTCTTCAAATTTTTAAAAATTGTCTTTTGGTTATTCACTGCTATTTCATTTATTTTTTGGTAGAATTTCACTACTATTTATGGCATGAAAAGAATTAAATAGCTGCATTAGAATTATCGCATATGATTAATATTCTCTGGATTGCAAAAATTTAAGTTATTTTATAACATTAAGTTTTATTAACATTTAATGCTGATTTCCTTACGACTTGTTGCGTCACGTATTTGCTCATTCCATTGTCGCATACAAATTTTGCGACAAATGGCGTAAATTAAAGTTTGGAGGAAACCATAACCAGTTATTTTAAATAGAATTCTGGCTTCTAGCGCCACTGATTTTCTAAAGATCCATTCGACAGAAGGTGAAAGCCTGATATTAGTTGCGTTAATAATAAGTGTAGGAAGTTAGCTATATTTTCTTTTCCAAACAAATAGCGTTATAGCTTTCCGTAGATTCATTGGCTTACAAATTCCAGCTTTTTCAATAATTGTCTGGTTTACAAATACAGCAAAAATTTGAAACTTTTAATTCAAATTTTTCTCTAAAACAAAAAAAAAAAAAAAAAAAAAAAAAAAAAAAAAAAAAGATCGTTCTTTACAAGCAACAGTTGTTTTGTAAAAAAAGATCGTTCTTTACAAGCAACAGTTTTGTAAAGTTACAGAAATCAAAAAGTTACACAAGAATTTCCTGTATTTCCTGTAATATGAACAGTTGGAAAGCGATCTGTGGCGAGTACAAATGAATGATTGACTGACTGTTTGAATATCGCCAGAATGCAGCTCATGGCCGCTTGTCCGGCTCCATAAATTATGCCATGAAGGCACGTCACAGTAGTTCTATCTTCACATAAGAAAAGATAGGAGATGGTAAAAAGGGAAACCAACATCGCAGAGCCGAGCAAGGAGACGATCATGGACAGAGACGGGTGGTGTGTACATCATCAGTGGCAAATGAATTGCGTGTAGCATTACGGATAATGTTTCAGAAGCCGCGCGGAAGAATCACGTGACTGACTGGAAATCAGCCAATCAGGAGAAAGGTGTTTGAAAGCTAGTTGCAGAAAAAAACATGGCTGAATGCCTGTTGGTTCTATAACGGAGGTAAGTAAGTTACAATTACTGTTTGAAATATTTTTTGTTCATTTTATGCACTTTGCACTGTTATATGTATTGAGTAAGTATTTTAACGTTTAAGCTTTGCTATTAAATAATATCAGTGTTCGTAATGTCTAATGAGTTGAAAGAGCACAAAATATTTATTCCAAATGCAGATCTAATACTATTAATTTGTCATTGTGCATCCGATAAATTACGCCTTAAATTGACCGCATTATTTATAACTAATTATTCCAAAATTTAATCACTATTGTGGTATTTAATTGAAACAATAATGTGGTTGTTGAAAACAAAATTAATCATGTTGGCGTTCGTTTGCAATTGTCTGACCACAGAACGTTTGACATCTTTTTCCCAGCAGGCCTTGCGAGAAAAGTTTATGGAAACATTTAGAATTCTGAATGTAATGTAGTATATATTTTTTGCTTACTAGGTTTAGTTTATTCTTTTTCTAGGATTACCTGATTAATTATACTTGGTTTATAATTCAGTCTGATATGTTTATGTACGAGATGTGTTATAAATTAAAATTACAAAAACTTAACAACACGGTCTTGAGAGATGGTGGTGGGGTGTATTTAATTATGGCAAAGCACATTAGGGCTATCTGCCTAAGGGATGCTTTCGTGGAGGACTTCCTAAGGGAAACTGGCTCGTATACACGTTACACATGGGGAAAACCACGAAAACACCCATGCAGTCAGCCCGTTCGCGGGATTCGAACCTCGCACCGAACTACCAGTGTTCAGCGACTTTACCGTTCGGCCGCTGGTGGGTCTCGGTCTTGAGAGAATCTCGTTTATTCTTTAATGTAATAATATTTTTTCAATGGTGTTAATTTCTTACGATAATGTTATAATTCCAAAATGAAGTAATTATATTGATCAAAAATATGTCGCATCATACTTTTCGTAGTGTTTTATTTTACTAATTAGATGAAACTTAATTATTTCATATATTTTAATATACCAGTATCAACAGGGGAAAGATGGAAATGACTTAAAATATTGTTCTAAAATTCGTTAAAACTAGTTAAACGAAAACTAAAATTTTGTAATTATTTCCAAAAATATCATTTCATTAATATTTTATAAATGACAAAATTTATTATATTGTATATATAACTACCATTGCATACTTATAAGTTTTTAAACATTTTAACACAGAATTTATATTTATGTTTATTTTATTTTGCCAAGTTTTAATACAGTTTTGAAGTATGATAGTCTTGTTACTAGGATAGCATAAATCTGCTACTACAAGTTTAATACATTTCTTGACAAATGTTTCTCTTATTAATCTAGCATAATAGTATTATACTATTATGCTACATAGTATTAATCTGGTAATCCTAAAAAAAGAATAAACTAAACCTAGTAAGCAAAAAAATATCTACATTACATTCAGAATTCTAAATGTTTCCTAAACTTTTTCTCGCAGGCCTGCGGGAAAAAGATGTCAACTATCTGTGGTCAGTGATTGCAAACGAACGCAACATGATTAATTTTGTCAATAACCACATTCTTGTTTCAATTAATACCACAATATGTTAAATTTTGGAATAATTAGTTATAAATAATACGGTCAATTTAAGGCGTAATTTAATCGGATGCACAATGACACAATATAGATAGATCTCATTTGGAATAAATATTTTGTGCTCTTTCAACTCATTAGACATTACGAACACGAATTATAATACAAGCTAACGTTAAATACTACTCAATACATATAACAGTGCAAAGTGCATAAGAATAATCTGCATAAATGAACAAAAATATTTTAAATAGTAATTGTAACTTACTTACCTCCGTTACACAACCAACAGGCATTCAGCCATGTTTTTTTCTGAAACTAGCTTTCAAACACCTTTCTCCTGATTGGCTGATCTCCAGTCAGTCGCGTGATTTTTCCGCGCGGCTTTTGAAACATTATCTGTAATGCTACACGTAATTCATCTGTACTCGCCACAGATCGCTTTCCAACTATTCACATTACAGGAAATTCTTGTATAACTTTTTGATTTCTGTAACTTTACAAAACTTTTGCCTGTAAAGAACGACCTTTTTTTTTTTTTTTTACAGTGCAGCGCGAATTTACCCAATTCTGCCCCACTTTTGAAGGAAAATATCTCCCCCCTCGGGGGACAGATCTCAGAGTCTTCTAGTCACCTTTCTCTTCCACTAACCTCTCGAAAGAGTTTTATATAGGTGGACAATGTTTAAGTCGCAAGTTCCCATGTCGCAAGGGCGGTACGAGGCCAATCCTGTGGCAGTTTGTTCTTCTATCACCATGCCAACTGTCGCGTTGAAAATCTAATAATGATACTGCTGTCAGCCTTTTGTGTGGACATGTTGGTTGCAACTAATAAGAATGATGGGAAAAGGAATTAACGTTGCTATTGCAAGCTGAAATATGTTTACGTTTGTCCAATGAGTCACGATTTCGTTGAGCTCTTTACAACAGTGGTATTTAAGCTATGGGCCACGACCCCATTTGGGGTCGCAAGATGGATAAAATTCTAAAAATATTAATTAATGATATATATGTAATGGTCGATTAGGTTCGCGAAATTGTTTTCGGATGTTTTTTGAATTTTTATGATATCACACTGTCATAAAGTTTGAATACCACTGCTTTACAATAATATAGCATTAAAATTCTCTTTTCTTATTGAAATGTGCCTCTGGTCTATGAATAAGCATGAAAATATTTCCTCCTACTTTCTTCAAAATTTTATTTTGGGTATGTACCATCATTTGAATTGTAGTATTATTATAAACTGTTTATTTAAGGTAAATCATAAGAAAAAGGCAAATAACGGAATCAGATTTGGTGAATCGAATCGAGCCTTAATATTCCGCAAATATCGTTCCGGCCGCTACGTGTCCGGATCAATGACTTCTCTTTCAAAAGTGGAATTTTCAGTTTTTATTTTATGTCATTTATATTGCAACAAGAAAGGTATCAACTTTACCTATGAAGCTAATTAAAAGTAATAGTTAATCCAGCTATAATTCAATTCATGCCTCACCTTGGGTGATAAAATTAAATTTCATTGAGTACTTACTTGTTGAATTTTGCACTTAAAGAACAGGAAATATAAAAGTAATTTAAGGAATGTTTAGTAATATTTTACTTTTAATTTCACAGAAAGAATGATGTATAAAAGTGCGTAGATTCTTAAACATGCTTTTTTTCTATCGTTATAGGGAGCTGATATTATAGTCTTCCCAGAATATGGTATATTACCTCCACTAACACGAAAGAAGTTAAAACCATATTTAGAAGTGATTCCAGATCCGAAAGAAGTTAAGATCAATCCTTGCAATGAAAGGAGAGAATATCAGAATCGACCTATTCTTTACACTTTGAGTTGCATGGCTCAACAAAATGAAGTTGCTATAGTAGCTAATTTAGGAGCCATCCAGACCTGTGGAGGAGAGGATAGATGTCCTGAAGATGGATCTTTTTATTTTAATACTAATGTCGTTTTTGACAAAAATGGCACATTGCTTGTGCGATATTATAAGGAATATCTGTTCTATGAAATCGATATGCATCTGCCAATACAACCTCAAAACTCTGTATTTAAAACAGATTTTGGAATTTTCGACACTTTCATTTGCTTCAATTTCGAATTTGCAAAAATGGCTGAAGTAATTCAACGGGAAGATTCTGAAGAAGTTGCTTTATCTACTAAGGTGAATGCTAGTCTTCACATGCCATTGGTCGAGATTTGGGAATCGCAGCCTCAAGAAAACAGCGGTACACTTTTAGTAGGCAATATCCAGCTTCCAGGTTATTTGGCAGTGGGTAATGGGATATTTAGCGGAGCCAATGGGCCTTTGGCGTACCGCTTCGATCCAGATGGCGTGTCAAAACTGGTTGTCGCCACAATTCCGAGAAGGGTTTACAGTTCTACTGTATCGTCACCGAGTGGTAGTATTACACAGTTTACTTTAAACAGTACTGAAGGATCAGAGAATGATGGATCAAATATCTCTAAGATATGTTCTTGGAGAGCTTTAGGTGAAGCAAAGGGCATTTATAAAGATAACAAATGTCACGAAACGAGTACGTCAAATAATTTCTTTGTTAAGTTAATAAATGACAGCGATCACATTAAAGCATGTATTAATGGTGTATGTTGCTCGCTTAAATATTCTTCTAGTGGCATGGCGGAAAATTTTTACTTAATAACATACAATGGCACAATTGATTATTACAGTCATTATTCCATTTGTGAGCAGACTTGCATCTTGGCAAGATGCGAACCAAATGGGACAAATCCTTGCGCATTTTTCCCGTTGAAGTCCAAAACTTTATTCTACAATGTCCAGTTAACAACTTACTTCTCTAGTAAATATATATATCCGTCTGTTGTGAGTAATGACATGAGGTTAACCTCACTGAATAAGTGGAATTACGGAGTTCATCAGACATCATCTTCTGATATTTACAAAGGTTACATCAATTTCAAAAGCACTTCAGGAGAAGCATTGACATTTGCAGGTTTAAGAAGTCGTTGCCGTGATCGAAATCTTCCATACATTTTTTAAACTTGCATTTTTACATTTCTTTGTTACAGGATTGATTCCTCTTTTTCTAGTTTTTAGCGAAAGAAATAAAAATAAAATTAAAAGTGTTCTTTTCATTCACTTTTTATTGACATGCTACCTACATGCATTGGCAAAGATTTATTAACATGAAGAACCCTGACTCTTTCAGTATATGATTTAGCAAAATTTCTTATATTGACAAGGAATATGTAAAAGCAACGGCATAGAACTTAAAGTAATTCCTTATCTTTACAATAATATAAATTAATTGAATTTATTTTGCAGTGTTCTATAACGCTGGACGACTACAATAATCCATTTTTTGAGAATTACACCTTTGCTTGCTAGTGTTACAGTTGAACGCTACAAAACGTTCGAAGAAAATGCATTCTTAAAACTATTGTTAAATCTTAAAGATTTATAAACTGATAATAATCACTGTATAAAACAAGTTTTTATCTATTGTGGGTTTAATTTTTCCATTAGCTAATTACACATATTGGTTGCACTTTCGCTTTTAACTATTGCATTTTAATAATTCTATCCTAAGTATTCTAATGAATAAATCCATTTCAAAAGAATTCTAATTAATTTATTTTTAAAGAAATTAATATTTTCAATAATCTGCTAAACAATATATCTTACCCAAATTTTCTAAAACTGAATAAAACCAATAAAAACCAAACAGAAATAGTTTATCTTGATCTAAGTATTCATAATCTAAAAGATATTAAACCTTTTGATAAAAGAAACTATTTTAATTTTACTACTAATAAACTTGTAAATTGGAACTCCAACATATCTAAAAAAGTTTTTGCAAATACTATTATTAACCAAATTAGCAGAATTAAAAATGTTTGCACTGAATGAGAAACACAAAAAGAAGAAATTCTAATTCTCACCAAAATTAAAAAATATAATGAAATTCCTTTAAAATTCATTAATAGTCTTTTAAAGAAATTTGGAGGAGTCTACAGCCTATAATATTTTTTTAAAGTATGAATTTTTATCAGCAAGCTCCAAAAGCGAAGGATGTTTTAAAAGGTTTATAGGATTTTATTATTTATTTTTTTCCTTAATTACTATTCTGTTACTAAACAATGGCTTTATATATTCAAAGTCGTTCTGGTAAGCCCATGACGTAAAGACGTTTTACTTTTCTAACAATAATTCCTATACTTCTTTTTTCCACCTTTTTCTGTAATTTTAAATAGCAATTTAAAAAAATCAAAATTCAACTTTATGGATTTTTCTACTCATATTTACAATACAATTATTAAAATCTTTTCGATCACTTATTGGGCACCTTTTTAGTCTACTTTTTTTTAAAGAATAATCGATTTTAAAATATAATTAAAGTTTAACGCTGAATGATATTCTTTTATTCCCATTTTTGTTTTAAAAGAGTCAGAATTTACTTAAATTTCATTCAATTTATAAAGTAATCTTTGTCAAAATTATAAATTTTCACTGAAGTTTTTAAAAATTTTTTCTTTTGGTTTCAAAATTCCATCTTTTGTTCCAAATTTTAGCCCTTTAAGCGATTACTTTCTAGCCAAGGTTTTTTTTAGTTTCGCCAATGAAGCCACCTGTACGTCACTACTATAACGATATTCTTAGCTTCGATTGTTGTCTATTGAAAGTGCTCGGAAGATTTTAATTACTTTTTATGAGTTTTAATTAAGTCTCTTCACCTAAGTTTTATAACGTTTTAAATTCCTTGGATAATAATTTGTGTGTGTGTGTGATTATGGCAAAGCCTCGAGGGCTATTTGCCTAAAGGGAGGGATGCCTTTCGTGGAGGACTTTCTAAGGGAAACTGGCTCGTATACACGTTACACATAGGGAAAACCACGAAAACGCCCATGCAGCCAGCCCGTTCGCGGGATTCGAACCTCGGACCGAACTACCAGTGTTCAGCGACTTTACCGCTCGGCCGCTGGTGGGCTCCTTGGATAATAAATATGCTATATGTTTAAAGGTAAAAATTTTGATTTAAACTTTTCACTGAAGTATAATATTATTTCACTTAAGTTTTCAATTCTTTAAATAAAATAGAATTCTTTTTATTTAAGGTACAAGATTCTAACTTGAATTTACTTTGTTTCTTCCTTGATTTGGGGAAGGGCTAGAATTTTTGGGTGAACTATTATAAGTAAAATACATTGAAATGGTTCATCGGTAAATTCTGGATACAAAAAGTAAGAATTTGTGTAGAAGAGAGATTTCAATTGATTTCAGTGTCTCCCCCCCCTCGACGAAGTGGCATTGAAGTTGATTAAATTCCTCTTCTGTAATGCTCATTTTTCTTTAAATTTCATTAATTTTTTTGAATTATGATAATACTTGTTTGAAAAGTTTTGGTTTTAACATTTTTTTAATACTTTGTAGCTTTTTTAGGATTATTTCAAATTTATTAATTATTTATTTTAATTTTTGGTCTTTGTGAAAAATTAGTTCTAAATTTCTTACTTTTTGTCTTACAGTACTTACTCTTTGTTTTTTTGTTTTTACAGTACGAGGAACATACATACATTCATGCATATTCTTCATTATTTAATTTCTTTAAAAATAACAGAGGACGATAGTAATTGGAAACAGCAATCTGAAAAGTGATACAGTCGTTTATACTGGACGACGAAAAATCCCGTTTCGATACTAATAGCACATTCGGGATAACGCTCTTTCGGACTTCCCCCACTCCAAAAGAAAAAGAGTTTCAAATTTTTAACGGTCGCCCAAAGAGGTTTATTAAGGTTTTTTAAGCTCTCGCTGAGCTCGTAGTCTACTAGTCCGCTGTTATGCTCATTTCTACTAATCCTTTTTTTTTTTTTTCCGTCTTTTTTATTAAGCAACATTTTTTTCCTCACTTGGTGCTATATACAATTCAATAGCAAAATTACAAAAATTTTAATACCAGCATAGCAGCATATGTTTAGAATGTCAGATGCATCGTTTAGTGTTAGTGTACATTTTTCTTTCTCCCCCCACCTTTTTTTTTTTTTCTTTTTCCCCAGTCTTTTCTCAGTTCATCATATCAATGTTCAGTTTTGCTACTAAAATGGCTTTACAAAACTTTTTTTGTCTTTTTATAATTAACTTTTTGTGTGTTTACTTTATTTATTAAATACGACGCCAAAAAAAAAAAAATTCGATTCAAAGCAAAATCACAAAATATTTAAAAACAGCATATCTATAGAATGCTGTTTTATGCATAAATGTTTTATTCCGCGCTAAAAGATTTTAAATCGAGCAGAAGTTAATCGAAAACTCATTAAAGCTTAAAAAACGTGAAATAAATAATAAAACAAATTCGAAAATCACATTTCGGGCATCCAGGTACGAAATCAGCCTGTATGCGGTCAAGTTTTAAATTTACAACCCCTTTTTCACGGGAGGAACTGAAAAGGAGGGATAATCTTGCTCGGGATCTTGAGAAAATCTGGGGGCCGTTTAAACATCTAACTTCTCTACATTCAGTTTTATACAGAGGAAAATACAAATTGAATTCTTCGAATGAAGGCAATTTTGTACAATGAAAATATATTATTGAACGATAAACTGTAAGGCAAATAGCATCTTTTTTAAAGCCATAGGAGTAGAAAGACAGATATTTGTTACATCAATGAATTTGTAGTAAATATTGAATTTTCCATTAACCTTTTACGTCACGTTTTCAATTACATTGTGGTCGCTGCTTTTTGGTTAATTTTCTAATGACATATAAACAATAATTGTTTTTATTTGAGACTTAATAAAATAACGCAAACTAGACTGCGGAAAATTCTTTAGAATGAAGTTAAATAATACTGAAAAATACATTATTCATGCACTTTTGGAGTACACACAAGTAGTTAATATGGAATCCTTAAAATTATATATATCTATGTATAGGTATGTATAAACGGAACAAAATATAGAGCAAGGTATAAAATATCAAAGAAAAATATCTTTATCATACAAATGTTCATTACCATACGTATATTTACGTAATATCAATATAAATGGTTAGTTAGGTTTCGAACGTATGTAATTTATTTTTATATTTTGTATTATATTCAGTATTGTATACGTATCTGAAGGTTTAATTTTATTTGTTCTCCTTTTGGGTTACGACTTTAAGTGAGAAAGAATTGTTAGGGCCTTCATAGGGATTAAATTATATACAATGAATTAAGATTCGACATTTCCTTTCTTTTAATAATCATATATATTTATATACTATTTTATAAGTATACATAAAATATAGCAGTTTGTTAAGCTACATATTTATATATCTATTGTTTGGTCTGGCTTGTTTGATTATAGCAAAGCATTCGACGGCTATTTGCCTAAGGGTAAGAATGCCTCATGGAGAACTTTCTAAGCGAAAACTGACTCGTATGCACGTTACACATGGGGGAAACCACGAAAACGCCAATACAGCCATCCCGTTCACCGGGATTCGAACCCCAGATCGACCTACTAGGGTTCCGACTTTACCGCTCAGCCGCTAGTGAGCCACACACACATCCACACATATACATTAAATCATATTTACATATCGTTTATAAAGTATAATTGAGTGCAATTTAATCATAAAGAGTTAGAAAATTATTCTATGGAATTAATTCGCTTCATTGACTTTTTGTTAAGCTTCACCATATTTCTTAAAGAGAATCTCATTGCTAGTTTCATTTCCAACCGTTTATGTACCTTATTTTTTATGCTTTGAATTATATTTAGAGAATTATTTCACCTGATTATAGCTGAAAATGCAGTTTTTTTTACTGAAGAATTTAAGGATAAGAAGAGAAGTCCTTTTCTAATTATTCCTGAAACATTTAAATTAAAAAAAAAAAAAAAAAAAAGGCAGATTAATAGAGATCTCTGAACTAATGTGCTCGATAGAGGACAGATTAATTAGCTACTAAATTTTGATTTTCATTGAGTAAAAATGAATTCATCTGCATTCTATAAAAATGGAAATATTCAAAAAAATGTTTTTATATTCTCGCAGTCATAATATTTTTCTTAAATATTCAGCTAATTCATATACAAACATTCCAATCCATTATAATTAGTAATAAATCGATATAGTAAATAAAT